AACCTTTAAGACTTGGATGTGCCTCCATATGTACCTACCAAGTTCAAACTCACATGCTACAAGAATGTGCTCCAGATTTTCTCTAGAAGTACACCTTGGAGACTTCTCACCCTCACTCACTTTCTACCTAACTTAGTTAAATGGACTAGGGTTCTGTTCATACACTACCCTGAGCAAGAAGCTAAGCTTAGATGAATCCATCTGCCAGATGTAATTGGCGGTCCACAATTTCACAACAAATCCATCGATCTTGTAGAGTCTGAGGTACTGACTGTGCTACTCTTCTTTCTTCTTCGATCTTACTTAATTATTCTATTACCATTTTCTGAATCCTATAAACTACCTTTTTAAAACCACACTTGACTTTCTCAAAATATACTTTTCCTATCCATTTGTACTGCTCCTACAATCTCCTTCATGGCTAGCCTACTTTCTATATCTGTAACCCCTGTGCTTAAATCCCACTTTCTGCCTGTGTTAGGTCAGGGCAATATTGCTGGTGTCTTTTGATTTGTTCAATATCAAGAGAATCCCACCCTTACCAACTTTGTATTCTTCCACTAACGATGGAAATGGAAGGTCAACTTAAAGGTTCCTGCATAGATTACATTGGAATTGAAGCTCCTAGGGACCGAAGCCATTTCCTAAGGTTCACATTAATCTTTTCTTCTATAGCCTCAACTAGGGATAGAAATAAATCATAGACCTGCAGAGAATATAAAACCCTTGGCAGGAAATTACACTGAAAAAACACACTTTAAACTTTCCAGGTAGGTCAAATTTGTTGAGTATCTCCAATCCTTCACAAAGTTGATTTTGAACTATTTTCCCTCTAAATCTATTTATAAGGGGCACAGAGTATCACCTGTCCAATATCTTAACAGGTTGTTCAGACACACAATTGTAGTCCTTTCACCATCAGTGAAGAAATAAATGAAGTGTTCTTCTAATGGTCAAGCTTCTACTTTTCTTAGATTTAAATTTCATGCAATATCATCTTTTTCAGCACATCCTGTATTGTCTAAACTGCATCAAACCCTGTCATAAATGGAGTTATGATAGTGATAACATCCATGAATTCCCTCAGCGATATTAGTTCTTAATTTACCCCAACTGGTATCCCAGAAATATATGGGTCTGCCCCTTTAATCGCCACCTCTATAGCCAAAACAAAAATGAGTGGTAAAATCGCATATTACATAGGTATGTCTACACCTAATGATTGCCAAGCAGCGGTGAACTGTCTAGTGATAAATCTCATCTAGAATTTATGATAATACTGGGCCACACTTTCTCGAAGTTTACTTGGTACTGAAAAGTGTCTCATAGCTAAATCAATCACCTTATGGAGTACCGAGCCATCAACGTTTGTTAGATCCAACCATACTATACATAAGATGTTCGGAAGACATGTAGGTTCAAGAAATCAATTTAACTCAAAAATACAATACCTTAAAACCCGAGCGCTTTTGAAAAGTGGACCTTTCTTCTTCAGGAACAACTATATTTAAATCACCTTTCCTCTTTTTAGTATCTTGGATTGTTGCTTAAATCATGCTGACATACTCAAGATACCCTAGATAGCCTGGAACTCCCGCTTTCTGCACTAATATGTTTATGTATCCATTTTCCAACAGGAAACTGGTCAGCCTATTAGTAAATACACTGAAATAAATATAATTATCCACATTCAACAGTGAAATCAGTTGGAACTGTCCATAGGAACGTACACTCCATATACTCTACACCATTCACCGGCTACACAGCATATCTTATCAAGATAGAACGTTTGGGCACTTCTTATAAATGTTATAGCTGACTGTATTAACCTCAGGGGCACTTCCCCTTTGGCTTTTCCCACAACCCGATCAATCTCTTCAAAACGGATGTTGCCTATATCAAACTCATATCGTGACCTGGTTGGTTGCCTTGACCCTGGCATGTACTCAAGCTAAACAGCCCTATTCACACCTACATATGTTTTCCACAAATGCTCTTCAACCTCTTCATTACTAGTCTTCAGTTCACTACTGTTACCCTGCTCAAAAAGCCCATTCTGAAAGCTATAGGGATTTCTAAAAATAAAATAAAGCTCGGTGTTCCTATGCCTTTTCCTCTTCTTCTTACACACTGCTACACTTCTATTAATTCCCTTGATCTCAAGTCTCAGATCCACAAGAGTGAGAATTTCCTCTTTCTCACATATGGCACAAATACCTAACTATTATGCATACTCCTCATGCTAATTTTTAAAATTTTCCTTTTAAGACTTGTCGCCTATTTGTTTGCTTACCATATAGTTTATTTTCTCTCTTTTTCACCTCGCACCTATCTCTGCAAATGGCATAAGGTATCTCTGCAAATGGGTATCGCTGTTTCTGGGCCTAATCCAGAACAGCACTCAGTACAGCTGAAGTGATAATTCTTCGTCAATATGTAAATCATTATGCTTTCTGAAGAGTTCCTTTTATAATTATAAACAAAGAACAGATTATATAACAAATGAATAACTAATTTTATTTTGTAACGTTTCAGGCTACGACCCTTCGTCAGGCTTATTGGTAAAGCTAGAAAACGGCATCTTGAAATAACGAGCAACACAAGAGAAGTAAGTTGGATATCAAAACAACAATATGCTTAAAGGTCAGATGAATGTTCACGTGTATTTGTGGAACCAAGTTTTAAAATTAATTTATCTTTTCTCCTTTCTCTTGAAGTTCTGTTGGAAGAGGCAAAACTAAACATAAAGGACGTGCATATCGCTGAAAAGGTAGCTGTTAGAGCTCAAACGTTTAGAAAGTGGAAGATCTGTGTTACTTTTTTCCATTTAACTAAACTGTATCTGTTGTCGATACCAAGTTTGCGAGAAATTTCGACAAGGTAATTATGATATGTTTAATACAACAACAACAACAACAATAAAAGACAGTTAAACTACACGTGTACTGACCTCGGATTTCTAAGTGGATATCAGCCTATTAATAACCATACGCTAAAATCCAGAGTTCAATTCCCCGTGGTGGACGCAGCAGATATCCCAGTGTGGCTTTAGGTTAAAACAAATATAAATCCTACTATAATTTATAAAGCATTGTTAACAACCTCTAGTATCTTTGATACGTGTTTAAAAGACACCAGTGACCTATTATTCTTGTTATACAGGGACTAGTATAATTATATAAGAATTTAGTAGGTTGAGAATAATAATTTAACATTCTTCGTCAAACACAGAACAATATCTTACCAATCTTTGCTGAGTTGAGGATAATAACTCATTGGTTTACACCAAACACAGAACAATAATTATATAGTATCTGCTAAGTTGAAAATAATAACTCATCGGTTTACACCAAACACAGAACAATAACTATATAGTATCTGCTGAGTTGAGAGTAATAACTCATCGGTTTACACCAAACACAGAACAATAACTATATAGT